CTGTTAAACGAAGTTGTTAAAATTCAGCTGTTGGTGTTGATTTTACATAAGACTTAAAGCCAGCTGGTGCAACAGGCTTCAGGTTTTGATTTAAACCAGTAAATCTTCACTGTGTCTGATGCGATGTGTTGTGTTTAGAGCTTATTGTGCTGCCTCCAAGTGGCCAGACAAATGCATTCATGTAGATTTAAGTTTTGTTGTTGGAAACCATTAAGTGATCACTGGAAATAACACTGATGATGGTGGTGGAGAGCCTTGTCACTCCAGAATCTCTTCCTTTTATAGAATTATCTGCATCTTTTATTCTTCCTTTACCTTTAATCCATCACACCCCGTGTGTATTACGTGCCATAATGCCCAGTTTTCCTCGAGTTAATTACATTCTGCTAACCGCTGTCTTGTCTGTGTTCAGTTTCCTGAGCTTCCGTCTGCTGGGCAGCGCTCTGCCGCTGCTGTCTCTATCTCAGCTGAAGGAGGTTTTGTCTGGAGAGGTGATGATGAACTACGGAGAACACGTGGTGACGGCTCAGGTCAGTGTAACCATCTGGCTTTATTCAACATGTGCTTTTATTTCTAGCTCTCTGGCTTCCCCAAGCTGCAAGGTGGCGCAGTTAGTAGCACTGTTGCCTCGCAGCAAGAAGGTCGCCAGTTCGTGTCCCGGTGGGGGCACCGTTTGCATGCCCCATGTACCGTGGGTTCTCTCCGGGTTCTCCGGCTTCCTCCCACAGTCCAAAAACATGTTGAGGTTATTGGTGATCCTAAATTGTCCGTAGGTGTGAATGTGAGTGTGCTTGGTTGTCTGTCTCTAAGTGTAGCTCTGTGATAGACTGGTGACCTGTTCAGGGTGTCCCCTGCCTTCGCCCTAAGTCAGCTGGGATAGGCGACTCTAGTGAGGATTGAGCGGTGTATAGACAATGGATGGATGAATGGATGGCTTCCTGCTGTCCTGCCAACAGTGACCCAACAAACTCCTGCAAAGCATAAAATCCCAGGAAAATTACATCTTGGGTAATGTAAAAACAGTTTAAATCAGAGGATGAAAAACACCATGGAAAGAGATTTTTCATCACTCAACAACCTAAACATCCTCTCCTTAATATTTAAGTTTGTCAGATAAATGTATCTAAATTTGTAGGTTCTTACGTTGTGGGTTTGAAAAGCATTCAGAAAATGTGAAAACAGACAGACTCATCAGATTATGTACTTTTAGGCGGTCTTTGAACTACTCCAAATCTAAGCTTAAAATCATGATATTTTACCATCATCATTAGGAATTCACTAAAAACAAACAGTTATCTCTAACCAGATTCTGTAAAAAAAAAATTAAAAAAAGAAAATCCTGTATTCCAACCATAAAGTTATAAGTGACTCAACACAACATTAATATTCTTGCACAACAAGAATTCAGCAACTTTTCTGTTAACTGGGCTGAACTGCAGGCTGTGTTCACACAGAGCAGACAGGAATGAAGGAATAGAAAAGTGGAGATTAGCTGAATTCACCACCGTTCTTCCATTTTTTGTTGTGGGAATCCAGCAGTTTACCACTGCAGCAGAAGCAATATAATATGAATGCATGTATATTGGTTACTGCTCCATCCTGGAGTGTGAAGTTTTATCTCGTCTGCAGTTCCTCCAACCAGTAATCATGCATACACAGCTAATATCAATCTCTTCTCTCATTTTTCTCTCCCAGAAACCCGACCGCTTCAAACTGGCCCCAGAGATGGACGACTACGTGTCTAACTTCTTGCAGGGCTGTGAGGACTCAGACAAACAGCTGGCGGTGATGTTGGGCTTCTCCTCGCTGACCAACCAGGGCTACCCGGTGGTGCCGTCGGTGTGGAGGGTGGTGCAGCACCTGCAGCCTGCAGCTCTGCACGGCTACGTGGAGTGGCTGAAGAACATGTTCCTGGAGCCTCAGCTGGACAAACTGCTGGACTTCAGCACTCGCAACCAGAAAAACAACCAGGAGGGGAGGGCGCAGTGAGTGTACATGTTTGTTTGTTTGTTTGTTTGTTTGTTTGTTTAGCTGAATGAATGTCCTGTCTGGTGATGCTGGACAGAAAGATACAGGTATGAAAACTGTATGAATGTAAATGTTATTTTCCTTCTTTTTTAGTGAGAATGATGTGTTTCGCCTGAGGAAGTGGATCGTTGCTCGGCTCTCCTCCATCATTGACAACCACCAGGTGAAGAAGCAGGAGGACTTCATCATGGATGTGGCCCGGTGAGAGCTCTCTCTGGTTGAAGAACAATGCAAAAGTCTCAGTTTTTGATGAGGAGAAAGTCTTGAGCTTGAGTTGTGTTGCTTCTTTTCCAGGTTTGTCTTTTTCCACGCTTTCTTCAGCACCAAAAAGGCTTCACCTGATATCGCAGAGACAAAGGAGAAGCTTTCTGTCCCATTGGATGAAAGAACCAGAGGAGTGCTAGTCAATTCGTTCTTTGGGTGAGAAATTTCTATCTAACAGACGTCTTATAAATGTACTGAACAGGGCGGCACATTAATTAGACTGTTTTGGTGATTTTAAACCACGTTATCAGGTGGAGAGATCACACTCTGGTGACTGACAACAGTTCACGCAGAACTTAAACACTTCTGTGTTTGTTTATGTTCTCTGGTGTCACAAAGATGTCGCCAAGAAATGCCTGATAATGAGCTTCATTAGGATGAAAATCAACTGTGTGTTATGATTGATTACAAACAGGAAGAGACAGGATGAAAGTGAGACATTGTGTGCAGCAGCGTTAAAGTGAGATCACAACATCACACACTTTTTATACACTTAACGAACTGCCAAAGTACACAGAGACGGATGTGAGCAAACTAGACTGAAGTTTTGTTTTGTCTGGATTAGTGGTTTTTGTGCATTTTGTATTTTCATTTCAGCATGAAATAGCAGGTTAAAATGGTCTAATATGCTGCAATGACTGGCCTCTTATGCTATCAGGTAGAAGGCACTCAGTGCAATGTGGCTGATTTAGTTCATCTAGAGATAGAGTACAGATTTTTAACTTTTAAACACACTTTATTTCTTTTTTTACACAGAGACGCTTTAAACTGAACCTCAAGCTTCCCAAAGTGCCGCTGCTGCTCTAACATTTCGTCTTATTTATTACAGTTTGCAGCTCGATGATAAAGTGTAAACCTTCATGATGTCAAATTCTGCTCAGTTTTGTCTTTAGTTTAATTAAAATGATCAGAGTAGGTTGATTTGAGAGATAGTGTGTTCATGTGACGCTGGGAAAGTTTTTTGAGTAAGTAATTTTGAAATCGTGTTGTTTGTGTGTTTCGTTAAATGTAAATTGCTGCTGCCACATTGCAGTTTCCCTTTGTTGATGATCGATTTGTTAAATACATATGACTTCAGTCGATAAGGATGTTTTACAGGTTAGATATGTAAAGGACACCCAACACTCATCTGTAACAGCTGCTCAGGTTTTCAGTCCAGCCACACTGTTTAAATCTGCAGAAATACGTCTCTAACAGACCAGAGAGGAGTATGAGTCGGACATCCTCTTTGCATCCAGAGCAGAACCATGTTCGGACTGTTAAAGTGTGACCTCTGCTATATCACTGTCTCCTGTCTGTCCTTCATCCAGACTCCTGCTGTCCATGCACCACCTGCCGCTCGCCGACGACTCTGCTGAAGGTGCAGCTATAAACCAGAAGCGGGTGCTGGGTGTCACATCTGATGGCAACATGTGGATCTACCACCTGGTCCAGTACGCACAAGTCCTGCTTAACCAGCCGAAATGCGTTCAGAGCAGCCATCCCTTCAGCCCTGAGCAGAGACAGGCCTGGGACAGGTAGGACAGCAGAATCTCCTCAAAGTATAGTCTCTGAAAGCCTATTTTTTTGCAGATTTGGCCATAATTTTTACATTATGATGACACAATCGTTACATTTCCATGCACTTGCAAGTTAATAAAAAGGTCTTTGTCACAGTTGATTTCAAACGTGGCAGGAACATGTTTGATTGCTCTGAATCTACGTTTTCTTCCAGCATGCTGGAGTCTGTAGCAAACCTGAAAAAGAAAGCAAAAAAAGGCCCATCATCAGAGAGCAATGCTTTCCAGCAGCTCTTCTTGTTGGTTGGCATGCACCTGTTCAAGGTAAGACACACTATCACACTGCTGTTATCCAACTCAAGTCATTGAATAGTTATTATCTACCAGTGTGGAGCCGCAATCCGATACCATTTACCTATTTTAAAGTATTAAAATCAATCCAGTGTATATGCTTGACAACTGAATAGCTCTGGAATGCCTGTAAACCTGTATTTTGTACATGCATGTCAGAAAATGTGCTGCGGATTTGTTGTAGTACCTGGTTGTGTCACCAGGTGGAGCCTCTTACTGTTTAATAATGTAGCAACCAGAGAATGCAGGCATTCAGACTCAAGGCAGTTCTGTATTGGCAAGCAGTGAGCATTGTGGGGATTTAACTAATGGGCAACCATGACCAAGACTTCTGTGATGCTAAATACCCTACAGTGCATCTGTTAACTAAAATACCGGACACATGTCCACTGTTCTCAATTTGCGTTTTCAATTGATTGATTATCCTTAGCATCCTAACGCAAATTGCACTCTTCCTTTACGCCCCCGATGGATGATGGATGTAAACTAAGGTTCAGGCTCAGGTTAACAAATGCCTTGACCTGCTCCGATCCTGATCTTTGAGATGAGATAGGGACATCCATTTGTTCATGTTATTGTTCTCCTTATGTTCATGTTACTGTTCTCTTGTAGGACCCTGAAGAACTGCTGGACATCATGAAAGATCTGCAGAGCTGTATGGACAAAGCTCAGGAGAAGAAGGCCAAGAAGAAGAAGAAGAAGAAATCAAGTGAGGCCTCAAATATGACAACGATGATGATGATGCTGCTGTTTTCCTCATTTCATCTCACATATAAAAAGAAACACACTTTCTTGCCAAGAGGCATATGAGAGGATCAAAACCACTCTCATTTCTGTGTTTTATTATGCAAGTAGAGCCACAAGATGATTACTTTCTCAATACTTCAAAGGTTTGAATCAGCAGGAAGCAGAAGTCTGTCGGTAGTTCAAAAGCTTGCCCATCAGCTCCTTTAAAGCTCACAAAATAACACAAATCAGGTCCGTTTAATTAGGTCACACGTCAGTTTTATCTTGTAAACTATAAGATTTAGGTTTTAGGCAAAGTTAGCAGCTAGCTGGTTAGCGTAGCAGAGTATTTAGCAGCTGAAGAGCCAGTTATGTCTGTTGAGTTGGTGGAGACCAAAAGTGGAGCTAAAAGGAGAGTGAATGTTAACTTCATTTTGCTGCATGTTCACTGAATGTGTAGAGAGCCAGCTGTTGGTCATTTCAGCTTAATGTGTTATTTAGACATGTAAGATATTTTGATTACAAATGGGTTAAAAAAAATCGTATGTGTTTCGGATGCAGCCACGGAGCAGGAGGAGGAGGAGCCTGAGTGGGTGGAGGTGATGGTGGACATCTTGTTGTCTCTGCTGTCGCAACAGAGTCGACACATCAGGCAGGTCTGCAAAACCGTCTTCTCCTCGATCTGCCCACACGTTACTGCAGCCGCCCTCACCGCCATCTTGGATGTAAGTAACTTTTTTTTTTTTTAAAGTTATTGCCTTTATTTAAGAGGACAGTTGAGAGAGACACAGGAAAGTGGGGGAGGAGAATGGGGGAAGGGGTTGCAGCACAGGGCCATGAGCGGGATTCAAACCCTGGCCACTGCATCAGAGACTATAGCCCCTGTTCATGGGTCGCCAGCTCAACCAGGTGAGCTAAAGCGGTAGCCCGTAAGTGACATTTATTCTACAACAAGTTTGTTCAAGATACAAGTGTAGACCTGGGATGTTTTTCTATAAACATAATTCTAATAAGAAATTAGACCACTGACTGGAAGTCTTAGCCAGATCTTGTACCCTTTATTCGTTTAGGGAAATTCACAATTCTCATGGTGATAAAACAAGATAAGCCTTTAATAAGCACATGTTGGGAAATTTGCAGTGTTACAGCAAGCAAATAGCAAATAGTGCCAAAAAATGTAGAAAAATGAACAAGAAATATACATCAGTACTGTCAAGTAAATAGAATTAAAACTTCTAGATGTTGGGGATGATTTTGACCTGTGGATTAACACATGTTTGGTGTTCAAGTGAGTTTTTCTAGCATCAGTAAAATGTGTTTGGCAGCAAAGAAATATGTTACTTAGTGTAAAGCTAAGGCTTGTTTTTTATTGAAGTGAAGGTTTGTGCCACAAAGCAATAAGATGTATAAAGCCTGAGCTTTTGCTTCTCTTGGTCTTTATATAAGATCTTTTGACAATAAGATAAATATAGAACGTCACCAATCTTATCTGTTGAGGGCTTTGTGTTATATTGTTTAAATCCTGACATTTAACCCTCTGAACCCCAGGCAGTTTCTGGTCTTTTTTTGCTCCTGTAATATTTTCACTCACTGTGGGTTAATTTTTCACTGCAGTATTAAGTCCCACACCTCTAGAAACAGAACAATCATGAGTAGACTCCAGAAATGTCTAATGTGCGGTATAACACAGTTATAATGCCATAAGTGGTGTTAAAAAACTAAGGTTGAATTTTCTAGTTTTACAAAAATATGAAAAACAAACTGGAATACATATTCTCAGAATATTTCCAAGTGGAGGCTCCACATGCTGCAGCTGTTTGACAAGGACTATTTACAGTTTTACAACCTTTACACACACTAATTTTTCACACTGCTCTGCAAATCAACTCTAGAAAAATATTTCACCGTGCTGAATGTATCTTCAAAGGCCAAATAGTATGGATTTTTTTAGCCATGCTGCATTTTTTTTAACTGATCAAGCATGTTTTATTTTTCAGTAAATCTCTTGTCGTCTCCTCTCTGCTCTGTGTGAACACTGCCTGCATTTCAACAGAAAAGCTACAGATTTTTTGTCACGTGTTAGTTGCAGCTCAGCAATTCATGGTTCAATAGTGTTTTTTTTGTTGTTGTTTTTTTACAGAATCTGGTTGCTGTAAAAGGTTTACTTTTGGTGAATTTTGTATGCGGAGTGAAGTGATTTTCATGAAATATATTTTTTCTAATGTCACACAATACATTCAAGGACGTTTGGAAAGCTGAGAATTGGACAATTTTTTCTGTCTTTGCACTTTCTGGCTCAGATAAATGATGTACTTTTGCAGATATTTTTAAATTTTTAAAAAATGCCTTTCAAACCTGCTGTCGAGTTTCAGGATAGACAGCTCAAGTGGATGAGTTTTTTTTTTATTAAAGATTAAAGAAGCAAGAAAAAGAAGAGAGAAATGCTGAACTGGACCAATTTCTTGTTTGTTAGCTGATCAAATCTCTACTGCTCTACAGGGTCTCCTAGTTCAGGTATTGACTGGGAGCTTATGATTTGTAATTATGCCGTTTTATGCTCTTGTAGGTTTTGGACCCAGATAAGGAGGATGACGAGGACGGTGCTGTCGTCGTCACTGATGACACAAACAAAAGGCGGAAGAAGAAACCAAAAGAGGGGGATGACGAGGAAGATGAGGAGATGGAGGTCAGCTCTTGTCTTCTTGTCCTTATTGTCTCATGTATTGAATTCTACCCAGATTCATTTGGCTTGTCTTTTATTTGCTTATTTATCTTGATGCTGATGTTCTAAATTATGAGTTTATGTGTCACCCAGGATGATGAGTCCGATGAATCTGACGATGACTCTGATGAGGAAGCAGAAGACGAAGCCATGGATGAGGAGAAGGATGATGATGAAGAGGAGGAGATGGAGAAGGAAGAAGTGGACGGAAATTTTCGCCTTGAGTTGATGAAGGTTCTCCAGAATCAGAACGCTCTGGTACGTGTTTGGCCTGTCGCCACCTTCTGGTCTAACTTTACTGTTTTTAAATGAATTTCTCTTTAAGGCAAAGAAACCACTGAGCCCCTCCAGAGTTCAGTCACCGTGTTTGATTATAATTCATAGAAGAAACAACATACTAACACATTTTTTCCTGTAGTTTTATTAAAAATAAGTCTGACATGTGATCATGAAATTCAGGCATGTTTTTTCTATGTGTGTGTGTGTGTGTGTGTGTTTTTTTTTGTGTTCAAACTTTTGCGTGACAATGGCATTAAGAAAACGTCAGTGGGATACCAACACCATTTGACCACAGTGTGCAAGTGGCGAAAAAACTGCTGCAACTGAAGATGTTTTTATTCCGTATCAGCCATTAAGAGAGCAAAGATGGCAAAAAAAAGCCCAAATCTTTTGATCTTAGACTTTACCGGGAGCAGCATTTGTTTAGTTTCATGGTGAAAAGATTTTACAGATGCAGTGACAGAGATCAGTTTATCAGCACACCTTTCAGTCTCAACAGCTGTTTGTATGGACAGATATCTGTGTGCTTGTCAGAGTTAGTTGTAGTCCTCAATTTTCTCCTTTTGCGCTTTAATCACGCAGAGATTGAGATCTGTTTTTGAGGGCAGAAACGTTAAATGACTTTCCTCTACAGACAGCAGGTTTCCAACAGCTTTGACCGTGCCGTTAACTCAGAGTTCACCAAAGCAACCACAAATAGTCGTTACTGGACGTAGCTGCAGCTCTGTGAACACGTAGGAAATAGAACAATGAAGGTTTGTTATGTTATCCTGGAATAGTTCGTTTTAAGTTACTATGAACAAATTAAGAACAGATCACAGATGTCAGGTCGCCGTCGCCTCCACAGCAGAAATGCAACCTTAGACTGTCAGAGTAACGAGTTCACTGTTGTGCTTCATATTCAGGCCACAGAGGAGGACGGCAGCAGTGATGAAGACATGGACGATGAAGCCATGATGAAGCTGGACAAGAGTCTGGCAGCGCTGTTCTCAGAGCAGAAGAAAAGAATTCAGGCCAAGACGGACGAGAAGACAAAACTAAAGAAAGAGAGGACGCTGGTCAGAGAGTTTAAGATCAAGGTTCGTTATCTTCTGCCTTCTAAAGGACTGAAAAGGTTAAAACAGCTCAGTAAAAAATGACACCTTCCACTGACCCCAAAACTATTCCCTGTCTCTATTTGGCTGCTGCAGGTGTTGGACCTGGTTGAAGTGTTTGTGGCTCGGCAGGCCGGCAGCCCTCTGGTGCTCGGTCTGGTGGAGCCTCTGCTCACGCTCATCGACCGAGGGATGAGCTCCAACAGCGACCAGCAGGAGCAGGACTTCCTCCGCAGAGCTGCAGACATCTTCAGGTAAAAACACCAGTAGACTGATTCAGGACTTCTTTAAATTATTTCTAGAATTGTCTGGTGCTGAGCATTTATCTCCAGTGTTTCGATTCACCTGTGAAATGTTATGAGCGGTACTGTAACGTCCTTCGCTTAGATTTTTTGTCATATATGCGCAAAATTTTTAAATTCTAAACTGCTGGTGTTCAGTCAGCAGTCAAAGTTGGAGATACCAAGAATTTCTGATGGTTTTGTTGTCTGCATAAGTAAAGAACAACTAAATAAGCGTCAGCAAAGGACCAGTAACGTTGCCACAGTTGCATCAAAATACAGTCCAGTTTTAATTCAGCTGATATGGTTTCCATTAGTGGTTCAAGAAAGACTGTTGGTGCTGGTTTGGTATATATTTTAAATTGTGAGTGTAAAATGCATCTCATTCTGTGCACAAATGTAGGTTTCACAAAAGATGTTTGGAAAAGCAAGTGTAAAAGCTTACCTTTTCTGTGAGCACGGTGTAATAGGGATTGATGATATGATGATTAACAGTAAAGCGTTTTTTGTTTTTTCCAGCGGGATCTGTCCTGTAGTCATTTATTGGTAGGCTCGTTTGCAAATCAATGAGGACTGTTTCGTGTCAATATTGGACTTTTATGATTATTGCATCGGTAGTATGTACTCTTATTACTTGTATTTAGTTTGCTGGTGTGAACAAAAGCAGACTTACTCATTATTTCCAATAAATTTACTGTATCACACTATATAAAATTATATTTGAGAAAGAGGATTTGTGGTGCTAGTAAACCATCAGAACTGAACAATTATAAACCTGAAATTGTGATATTTCATGAAAATCATTTTTGTTCTACATGTCTCATTTGACAGTTTTCCCCCAAAATAATATGTTTGTACCATATTCTATTAAAAAAAAAGCAACTAAACATTCTGCTGTCCTCAGCACATCTGAGAATCCATTTGTGCTCAACAGTCGCAAGACTAAAATTCTGGGGCCAGTGCATAGAAAGGGTTCTAAATTCTGTCGTACGCATGAAATTTAGAGTGTGTGTAAGTACAAATAAATCCGTATTTATCAAACGTACGTACGGGGGTCGTACGCACATGAGTGTTGATAAATCCCACTTGTTCTTAACCTCAGTGCTCGTGCACGTTGCCTTCAGAAACGCCTCCAAGTCACCATGTAGGGCAACAACACACCTCTTTATAAGCAAGTGAAGATTTATTTTTTCCTCACCTGTCGTCATCATTGTAGCAAAAAGGGCGAAAAAGAGGAACTTTTCTGAAACTGAAATCCAGGTAATTGTCAGCGAGGTTTAAGCAAACCAGAAAATATTGTTTGGTGTGTGAAATGTTGGGATAAGCAGCAAAAGAAAAAATCCTGCATCGGACAAGATAACCACCGCAGTTATTTCTGTTGGGTCAGAGGAGATTGCCGGCAAAATTGGTTGACGTTAAGCTCAGCTCCAAAAAACGCATCACAGACCATGAAAGAGAAATGACTGCAACTGGAGGAGGATGAATTAATACCGAACTTTCACCCAGTGGATAACCCTGATCACGACAGATAACATGTTTTAATAACCAAACTAAGTCCAGCTTAAACATCTCACACTCTGTGACACTCATCAATAAGTCAGCTGTCTTCAGCAGCTCCTGCTTGGAGACCCACAGACCCACTGTTCTGCTCAATGAATGAGTCGTGCATTCCTCCAAGCCACCGGGCAACAACGTTGGATAGCGACAAATGCGCATCACAAATTATCTGTACATTGATTGAATGAAACCCTTGTCTGTTTGCAATATTAAGCTTGTTTAGTGATGCTGCTTTGAATGCAATGTGAGTGCAGTCTGTGGCTCCACATATGTTTGGGAATCCAGCGACGGCATTAAGACCCCGTTTGATTTGGGCCCGTTGGTGATGGCTGTAAGGGAACTGGATGTAGGCTGGGGCCAGGGGAGTTATGGCATCCAACACTGCCGGCTTGATCCTGCTCAGTGGTGGCTGGAAATGCTGCATATGTCTCCAACCTCATGCTGGAATGTGCCGGTGGTCAAAATCCCAGTGTACGCACTGATAACAAATGAGGCCCCAGGTACCTTTCAGCTGAACTGCAGGCAGTGTTTACACGGAGCAGAGACAAAACAAGTATGGAAACCAATTAGAGAGCGTTAAGGCAAACAAAACATACTTGCTCATTAACAGAAATGCAGCACGGCTGAAAAAAGAGGAGCGAGTTGTCAGAAAGTTGTTGGAAGATACATTCAACATGGTCAAACATCTTTGTAGAGCTGATGTGAAAAATCTAGAGCTTGTAGTGTTTGTAAAAGTGTGAGCAGCGTTGGTCTCACTTGTAGGCACATGGAAAAATGTTGTATGTAGTTTAATTTGTTTGCTCAATTTTTACAAACTAAATAATTGAAAGTTTCCATTTTTTCTCCTTTATTTAATGATTTTTGGCATCATAGCTTTGTCATGCTGCACAAAAGACTTTTGCCTGGTGACTGCTCAATAGTATAACTCTGTCGGTACCCTTCTAACGGGAAAGTTGAAAGTTGGTTTTGATCATTTGATTGCTCTGCATCCAAACTAGTTGATTTTATGTAGCCATAAAAACAAAATCAGGCAAGAACATCTGCAGAGTCTTTAAGACTCAAGTGGACCCTGCTTAGTCAGTTTCAAACTTTTCTGTGTCTTTGGTTAACTGGTTCTTCCTTTGAGTTAATGCATATGTTGAATGTTTTTGTGTGTGTGTTTTATGTTTTTTATTTTTCAGGAACCAACTGTGCAGGTCCAAAGTGTACTGCAGGACTGCTGGCGACAGACAGGGGGAGCTCCATGACCTGCTGGACAAACTGATGACTAAAGCCCAGAAACTGTCCGACTCCTCGGTCTGCCTTTACTACTTCAGGTGAAGCATTAGTGTCTGATGACTGAGCTGCATTAAAAAATTATGCTTGACTTATTCGCACGCCTTAATATTTATGAATATGTGATGAAACATGACTTGGTGAATCTTTGCTAATGTCACATGGAAAAAATTCGTTGAAGATACCGACGGAAAATAGTATTTGTACTAGATGAAAAATGAAAGGTGGTTTTGTTCAGCCAACACTCATTTAGATTTGAGTTTGTAATCAGATGTGGCAAAGACAGGCAGCAGATCGTCACATTTAACTCTGATGAGTGTGTGTACTGTATATGTGTGTATTGTGTGTTTTGCTGATGATGTACTGTCCTTGCAGTGCATCTCTGTATGTGGTCAAAGTGCTGCGAGGAGCTCCTCCTGCTGAGACCAAAGAGGATCCGGCAGCCGAAAGAGCTGCAGCAGCCGACGTATGTTTACACTCATTGATTTCATTCTCTGTTATATTTTGCTCGTCTTAACCTCCTCGCAGCGGGGGCTGCTGCCTCTGGATTATAGTCAGGAGAAAGTGTGACCAAGAAATCAATCAGATAGTCGCCTAATAAGAGCATATGTGGGGTGTTTGTTTTTTTTCTCCAGTTTTACCCAAAACAAGTCATGCAGAGTACAAGCTTGGGCTTTTCTTTAGCTTTTAGGTCACAAGGTTGGGCAGTAGACAGACTGTAATTAAATATTTACACTGTATGCAAGTGCTACTGTTGTAGTTTCTCTCATATTGACTGCAGCTTTGCACCATATAAATTCCACCTCTTTTCCTGTGTTTTTACTGGGTCAGGAAGTGGCCTGGATAACGTGGCCCCCTTTCACTCAGATCGTCTTCTTCACACAGATTTCTTGTCATTTTTAAAAAGTAAAGTTGTCGAACATTTGTAGTTACAGCTTCTTAATTGTGAGTATTGTTTGATTTATATGACAGCAAAGTAATTATCTTCAGGTTTTGAGGTGTTTTTTCCGACATTGTATGGCTTGTGTAATTATTCAAGAAGATCATTTAATTCTGAGCTTTCTGTCTTTGCAGAAAATTTCTGTGAAAGTACAAATTACAGCTGCGACTAGCAATTAATTTTGACATTGATTATATGTAGCGTCCGCTATATATAGATACTTTGTGCACGTTTCCACAGTTACCTGCAGGAAGACGCTGCTGTCTGTTTTCATTACCAGAGAGGAGAAATAATCCATAAATGGTCTACCTGTTCATTAGTACAGTCAGCTTTGGTTTCAGTTGTCCAGATTTTGATTTGTTTGTCTCTAATGCTTCTGCCTCTGTCTCTCTTTTTTTTTTTTTTTTTTTTTAAATAACCTTTGTATGACTAACCATGGTTTCGTTCTATCCAAGTGTCCCTTTTACACTGTGACAGTAGTCAAGCCTCCATCCAGATATAGTACAATTTTTTACTGGATTTCCAGAATATATGCCAAAGAAAATCCAAATGCACGTTGTCATCCACTGTTGGTGTGCTAATATTTTAAGTGGACAGTACTGAGACGCACAGTTGGCTCTAATTCTGCTGTCAGCTGGAATTTAGCCATTGTAGATGAAGACATAAATAATAACTTTATTTATAGAGCACCTTTTTCAAAACAGAGTTCACAAAGTGCTTTGAGCCAAAAAAAAAAGGGAGAAAACTGAGTCAGATAATAATACAACAGAAAGAAAATAAGACCAGAGAAGCAAATGGCAGAAAAATGAGAGTTAAACACAGTAAAAGATACAAAATGCAAAATACAAATATCAGTTGATACAAATAATGCGCTATATGCTATAGCAGGTTAAAGGAAAGTAAAATAATAATATGAAAAAATGTAGAAAGAAAAAAACTAGTAAAGGAGAATAAAATAACAGAGAAGACATTAACATTGTTTAAAATGCAAGTTAAAGTTCAAAGTTTGGAATATCTCGTAGGGAAACTTTGGTGGAAATATTTGCAGGATTTTTTTATGCCTCTCTGCCTGTAACTGTCGTGGCTGGAAGTGTTATGTCTTCTGGTTGTCCGTCCTGTTCTTGTGAACGTGGTATCTAAGGAGGGCTTTCAGGGAATTTCTACAAATTTGGCACAAATATTCACTTGGATTTGAGGATGAGCTGATTAGATTTTGCGTGAAGGTCGTCGCGTCCTCACGTCTGTCCTTTTCTTGCGATAAATCAGCAACACCCAGAGGGATTTTAAATACACCTGGAACTTTGCTGCAATATAAAAAGTCTCTAAGTGAGGAGAGTGAGTTTCTTATTGGAAAGTATAAATTATGTCATGTACATCAATACAGTGACACCTCCTGTTTCACCAAATAATACAAAACAAACTAATGATTTTTCAAGATTTATGCAAAATGTGGATAAAAACTGAAGCAGCTCAATGGAATTCTAGTTTAATTATTTACACCTTTCCTTCTGCAAGGTCAAAAGAAAATCTGAACCCTGATGTGTGTTTGATTCTTTGCGTTGTTTGCGTGCAGGTTGAGTTCATGGGAAATGTGGACGTGGATCGTGTCTCCACCGTGTTCAGAGAGGCTCTGAGCTCCTTCATGAGCAGGAGGAACAGTCCGCTGACCGCTCAGATGTTCACCGACTTGTTCACCAGGTTCCCCGTGAGTACGACCGAACATGTCCATCACCGTGCAGATGTTGGTTCAGGTCACCATGGTGACAGAAGCAAAGTCTGTGCAGCGGTAACTGATGTGTTTTATTTGCAGGTTTTATGTGTGAAGCTGTTGGACACAGCAGTGCAGAACATCACATCTGGGATCAGAGAACATCAGCAGGTAAAGATTTTTATTTACACTTTGATCCTGCGGCCAAATCATGAAGGACAAACCTAAAAGGAAAAAGTGGAGTAACTCGAGCTGAAAGCTGCCAAATTGATTAAATACAAATGCAGCACATAGGCTACGTACTTGTCATTACTTTGGGCTAAATGGCACAAAAGTAAATTAAAAGATTTCTCAGTGCTATCTACTAGAATTATGCCTCAAATGAACTTGTGCTTTCCAAACCGTGATTGGTGTTGTGCTCTCAATAAACTGGACCTGTTTCTGATTTAGTTCATGAATTTGGATCCTGCAGCTCGTGAATTATTGTGCCATATGGCTTTTTAAGTGTTAAAAGAAAACGCTGGTGATATTCTGTATTTATGATTTTGTCAACAAATCCCATAAAAATAGGAAAGTCAACACTTTTTTTTAGTGGCTCTCTGACTTTCCAACTCTAATGGAGGTATAAATCTGTAAAAACAGCTCACAAATGTACAATATCAATTTTAAAAAGGCTCAGTGATTTTCTGTAACAGCTGGGTTCTGTAGTTTCTTGCAAAAGTTTCTCAAGCAGAAGTAAACATACATTTGTTTTTCTGCTGTCGATTAATTCAGTTTTAGTATTTACTGCAGCAGGACAGTGTATAATAGGAGATGGTACTCATTGTGATGAAGAAACATGTCACCCAACACTGATTTTTTTTGTTTTGTTTTTGGACAGCAGTAGAGCTCTATAGCACAGAGGCTGCACCTGTTCGTAAAATCTATTTATTATTGGTTTTGGTCTTGAATTTCAACAGTCATAACATTTAAATAGTTACTTTTTAAATAGGAGTAATGACAATGCTGTCAAAATGAATGCATTATCTATAAAAAGCAAAAACTGCTAAGTTTTGCTACCATCCTTCAGGCATTTTAAGTACAATCTGTTGAAGCCTGCTAAATCTCCTAAACTGTTTCAAAACATTCAGACTTCAGCTGGAATTTCATTTTAGAGAGGGGGAAAGAAGTCATGGGAAGCCTTTGATAAGTACAGCTTTTAATGAGAGCAGTGTGGCACAGTGGCATGCACCACGATTCAGGTAGTAGATAGGTAGGTAGACATTAGACAGACGTTGGAAGCCAACCTTCACTGTCTGACTCTTAAGAAAGAATTCTTTAGTCTTTAACACTGTTGGATCCAAGGCTGTAGTCGTTGACCTTGTCGCTGTGATGATCCTCGACATGAAGGTTTGTCACTTGGACACATCGTATGTGCACGTTTGAGGTTCACGGTGGAGTCAGAAATGTGCACCTGCAAGCAGTCCGAATTTTTTCCAAATGTTGCAGGAGTACTGGGAGCAGAGTAACGCTGCACACACAGAGACAACTTTAAAGGGGATGGCGGCCAAAGTATCTCTTGATCGGACCTTGTATAGTCTGAAATCTTGGCTCCCGTCATTTCAGACAATCCCTTGTCAATGATTTAAGTAATCAGACTGATTCTTTTATCTGAAATAAGAAACAAACCTGCATTAAAAACAGCCTATAAAAATACAGTTTTGAAGGCAGTTACAGCACTTCCATGTCACTGGTATCTTTTGGACAATTATAGGAAAGGATTGTAGTTTATCTGCTGGCACTGTTGTGAACCAAACTACAAACTGCTGTAAGTATCACATATGATGTTTTAACATTTCTTTTTACTGCGTATTTTCGCAGGGAAAGCGCACAATTATAAGTAATTGCACCAGAGTTAGCCAGCATTTAATTTACGTTTGTTGTCCCTGATCAGGTAGACAAAAAACAACCACAGAACAGCAAGTGCACTACATAAAACACAAGACCTAAAGTTCCATCAGTGTGAGATAATAAATACAACCAGCAAACAGAATAAATAAAAGGCAATAATTGGTGGTGGTTGTGCTGACTTGAGGCCAGTTTTAAAGACTTCAAACCTCCCTGAGTCTCGAATGTTTGTGGCAATAGAATTTCACTTTCCCACTTTTTTAACTGAGAAAGCTGATTGACCAGAAGCCATCTTTCTGAACTGCAGTCACCTCCAGCAGACGCTCCAGTCGAGTTACTTCAGGTTAAAGTGCTGTATGAAATCAGCTGGATTCTAGTTCCAACAAAGTCAATCTCAGACGAACTTTTGTAAGCTTCTAAATAAACTAAACTAAAGCTACTTGGAGCTCTGTGTACGTCAGACTTCCTTTTTATAGATATTACTTTGTGTGTTTAGGGTCAAGCGTGTGTGTTGGTGTTGCGGGCGATGCAGAGCCGGGAGGTCCAGCAGCTGCTTCACGGTGCTCAGTGGACGGAGCTGTGTGAGAAGGTCACAGAGCAGCTGGCAGCGGTGAGTCAACACAACTCTACAGAGCTGGGATACTTCACCGAACAGGGATTCAAGATATTTGCCTAGTTGAACCCTCTGAATCCCAAGAAGCTTCTCCTGTCAGATCTTTACCTACTATGGACTCATTGTTCACTGCAATATCAAGTCCTCCTCTCTGCTCTGTGTAAAATTACAGGATTTTTGTCATGTGACAGTTGGTCACAGCTGAGTCACTCATGTCTTTCCTGTTACGTTAAGGAGTGCAGATTTATTTGTTATTTACAGTATCTTTTTAGAGTCAACTGTTTAATTTGTGTTGATTTTGGTAAATTGTTTTGATGGAATGCCACATCACAGGTGAGTAGTTTGAGGACCATTGGAAAGTTAAAAATCTGATGATTCTCTCTGTTTTTACATTTTGTGGCAGCAAATAGTGTCACTCCTTTAAATGATAACATACCAGACAGCAGGTTTTGCTGTTCAGAGGGTTAATGTCATGTTTTTGTATACTCATTGTTCCAAACTTTCACGAAAAAAAGCTTCCTGCCCGACAACAAATAGCAGAAAGACACGCTTAGTGATTAGGAAGTGAACAGAGAAAAACATTAGCAGCTAGAGAGCCAGATATTTTTTTCTCAGGAATTGGTGAGACCAGAAATGGAGATAAACAGGGAGGAAATAATGGACTGAAATTAATGCTAATGTGACTAAACATCTGCTGGATGCGGAAACAAGGCAACAGCTTGCCAACACATTTGCGAAATCAACTTTATAAGGTGTGTGTGTGAGTGTAGCTTTGCTGCTTCTACATGGCCAAAAATTATTTTAATCAGGTGTAAAGGAAATTTTAATTCACACATTTGAGGTTGTTTTTTTTTTGGTTTTTTTTGTCCGTCATTGGACGGTTGTTGGTCGGGATGCACTGATCCGACTTTTTCATTACCCAAACTCAGAGTATCTGCCAGAGCTCCCTGTTCCCAATTTCCATTCTGTAAACTTCTCCTTGTGGAACTGATTGAAAGTCATATTACTGTGTGTATAATGGCACAAAGCTGCAGCTGCACATCATGTCTTCACTGTAAGTAGAGATGTTCATACAGCGGCATGCTTTCGGCTTGTTCACGTTTTAATTGTATTATTCTGGAAGGCTTATGAGATTGCATCGTGCTGTGATAAATGATGATTAGAGCCTCTGCTCCGCTCGTTGTCCTCTGCGTGTCCTCTGGAGAGCCGAGGGTGAAGACATGCTTAATTGCAAGTTTCTGCAAATCTTCGCCAAACAGTGGCACCTCCCGTCTTATCGGTTCCCTCCCAGAGAGAAACAAAACTGCAAAACAACACAACTGCTCCAAAGTGTTCCTTGAAGTCTGGGCTGAATGTTTGTTCTCACAAGATGTTACGTCAGTTCTGAATTCATGAGCTTTCTCCTCCATTGAGCTTCACTGGACATACTTTAAAATTGAAATGCCTTTCTGACCAGTATATATAATATTTGTAATAAATGCATGCACATTTTATTATAGTTGAAGCAGATGTGTGTTAAAAAGCCACTTGCAGTTTGATAACCCCAATAAATTATCTTACAGGAAAACTAATCAAAAGCTTGATTCCTGTATTCAAATTTTTATTTAACCTGAAGAAAGAAAAAGAGGAGATGTACCAAAGAGAGGAAATGAAGCCATGCTAATTCAGTTCTTAATTTGTTTACATTTTTTTCTGTAAAAAAAAAAAAAAAACACAACAAAACAGATTGATAAGCAGTATTAAGAGTACGAGTTTTAGTAGTGTCCCTAGCAGAGACAACAATGTGACAGATGGTGATGCATTGTGGGGGGAAAAAATCCAGCTTTTTTATCTGAATTTCTGCATTTATGTCTCACAACAATTATTACAATTCTAAACCATCATTCTCAAAAAGTGTAAAGTATAAATTTATTTTAAAAATTCAACCTGCAAGTTGCTCTGTAATGTGTTTCCAACATGTAACAATTGATGTTTTGGTCTCAGCAGCAGTTTTGTGTCCTTAATTCACCACAGTAAATGAACAAAGCAGACATTTGTTTTTAATTTGGATCAATAAGGTCAGTCTTGGGGATCTGTGCTGATTTAAATCCAATGGATCTGATCAGTGTCTCCCAGGTGGTTGATGAAGGCAACAGAAACGTGGATCTCAGTCTAACCTCAGTGTCTTCTTCCCTCAGACTCTCGAGCACGTTGGCCAAACTGAGGGCAAAGTGGTGAAGGAGAAGGTGGTGAAAGTCCTGGAGCTCTGTCAGTTTGTGTTGAAGCACATTCGACTTCAGGTAGGCGGTCTGATAGTATGGAGATGAAACCATGAGAGAGAACAGATGATGTGGTGTCTGATTCCAGACTGAGTCTCTGCTGTCTGTCCTGTGTAGAAGCTGTCTGTGGAGCTGGATTCCCTCCAGAACGTCCTGCAGCAGCTGACCAGCAGCATCGCTTTCAAGAAGACCGGCAAGCTGGAGGACACGTACTGGGCTGTGATGAAGCACTTTGGAGTCACGTGAGTTACTGCGTTGTTTGTATCTCTAGAGGTGATTCTCATGCAGGAATCTAATGAAAGAGAGAACTCAGGTTTCTGCAGGATCCTTGTAGCAAGTCAGTAATCAGATTTCCCAACTAGTGCATGTCTAAAAAATGTATTGAACCTTCTGAGCCCCAAAATTTCCCAGCAGGTATGAAAAGCAGGTTTTCTTAACAAAATCACTAAAAAACCATTTATCAGAGCGAGTCACTGATCATGAAAATGTTAGTCAAACAAAATGCAACATACCTCTAAATGCTCCCTGATCCCTTAAAGATGCTTTGAATTCATCTCATGACATCGGCTCTTTAAAATTCAGACAATTTTGCAACAGATTCTAAGACATTAATACGATCTGAGCATCTGGGAACAGACAGCAGGAATAAATCCTGGGAGTGAATATGTACGTTTGTGATGGACGTAGATTTATAGGTAGATAGGAAGCAGAACAAGATTAGTTTTGAAACGAGATTAGCTATATAGATAAGAACCTTGTGATTGTTTCTACGGGTGGACACGGCAGAACGTCCAACCCGAGCTGAGATTTAACAGCTTTTTGGGGTCCTGGGTTGCTTATTTGAAACCGTTTTAGTGAACATCAGTGTAAAGATGGATGCTTGATGCCCTTGTCCTTCTATGAAATGTCATTCATGGATGCCAGGACTTCACAAACACTAGCCACTGTGCATTAGTGCATATATTCACCCCCTGGACGATTGTCTCGTAGTTACCACCCTGAAGAAGGGCTCGGCCCAAAACATTGGTGCATTAAATCACATTTCTTACGTGAGTCACGCTGCGCAGACTTTTCAATTTGTCTTAACCTGCATTACTGATGCATGACTCTGCTTCCTGATTTTCTTTTTGTTTCTTTTCTCCTTTATTTATTTATTTTTTTCTGTCTGTGTGTGTCGGAGCATTAGGATGGCAGGACAGCCTCTGTAATAAGAGAGCAGTTTCAGCTTTACTCACATTCTTAATTCAATTATTTTGCACACAAGGATGCACCGCTACATGTATTGATCTTTGTCTCAACCAGCCACTGCGACACTTTTTCTCTGTCTGCAGTCTCGTCTGTACACATGTAAAAAGTCCACAGGAAAACCAATTGCACTTAAAAACGGCCAAAATATTGATGTACAGAAGCTGTCTAGCTGTAAAAGAGGAACAATTTGCCCAATAAGGTTTAAATATGTTGAGGAAAAACTGCCCGTGACTCTGTTTGCTTGATTGTTGGTGAAGTAAATGTGCAGCATCAAGAAAATCTGGAATCTTTGTCACCTCACAGAAGACACACAAGCATTTTATAGTCAAGTATTGGTTTGTCATTACATGGTTCGATAATTGGACCTATAAAAGCTTTCCAACACCAAATCGCTCCCACCAATCCTGCGTGACGACAGACTACAGTCGAACTTAAAAATAAACTACTCATAAGACTCTGAACTCTCGTTGACCCGTCGCACAGCCCACTCTGTTTTCTGATACGGTGTTTTCTGCTGCTGTTGTCTCTCCAAAGATGTGATGCTCAGGCTGCAACATGAAGGTGAAACGGAGGTTGTGTCTCAGTGATTAAGTTTACATGAAGAGACGAGCTTTAAATAAAAATGCACCTCTGAAAAGGGAGTTAGTATATAAGCTAATGTTTATGCATAAAGGATAAAATGAATAAATGATCAACTTTACAGCCCAGTTAAGTGCATTTAAACACTGTTTCCTTGTTTTGTAGCTGTAGGACAGTTCATGATATAACACAAGCAGCACTGTGTTCTCTGTATACCTGCTACATTAACTCAGACCTTTGTGTTGCGTTTCTTTTTCCCAGAACCCTTTGCATCAAAGTCATGCTCTCATTGAAATGAATTAGAGAGGTCGTGTCATTTATGGAGAGCTGCTTTAACATTTAAAAGCTCGACTGGACGTGCATCAGACATCCGTAATTCAATTCTTCGTGGTCAAAAAGAACATTTCAGACATCCACAATGTCATTCCTCTGAGGACGAATCACGTCGCTGTTAGCATTCATGTGTCTGAGGTTTCTCATTACTCGTATCTGCAGCATGTGATGAGCAGACGTCTGCAGCTGAATTCTGACGAGTTTCAGTTTCAGATATCTACAGTTTAATTCTGACGACTCATAATTGCATTTCAGGATATTTTTTTATCCCTTCAATTCACGGTATCCATAATGTCCTTTGTAGATATCTTAAATTAAATTTTACCTGGGCAGAATCTCAAGCTAGAATTCTGCTCAGTGAAAATGTAATTGCAGGTGTCTTCAATTAGAGTTTTGTAGTGTAATGCAGATATCTGTACGTCAGAAGCTACGGCGAGTCGAGGCAGCTTGTTTTTCAATCTTACTATGATACTGCAGCCATAACTGCAGAAGACAAGATGTTTTACCTCAACGTCAGAGCAACCTGGATGTTTTAGAAAATTTTGACCACGAGTCTCTTGTAAACGATGGTCTCATTCTCCGTTAGCTCTTTGCTGATGAGCCCTTTCTATTTCACTGCATTTTCTAACCATCTTATCCAGGACACAAACCGCCATTACTTCTGCTGACACTGTTCAAATGCCTTCCTGAACTAGCATCCAGTAGGAAGCCGCAAATGAGCACCGTCATGTGCAACAATTCAGAGTCATCATAAAGATGTTTGAGACATCTGCAGCCATTGTAGCTGAATTAGAGATTTCTACAGTAATGGGAATAACGGCATTATTTTTTTCAGTAACGGGTAATCTAACTAATTACTATTTACAACGCCGTTACTGTTACTGACAATTAAATGGGGTGCGTTATACACTGAAGCTACTCATTGAAGTTCTTGTCATACGACTTGGCTCTCAGCCACAGGAGCTGCAAAGCCGTTCACTTTTCTCTTGCTTTCGTGGGAAGCCAATCAGAGGCAGTGTTCAGTTTACACACACACACACACACACACACACACACACACCACACACGCACACAGCAGCCCCACACACACCCAACTAGCAGGTAAACTGAAGCAATGGCGAGTGAATGGAGGGAAAGTTGGCGTTTTCACGGTGGAAGTACAGACACTACTTTCCTCCCCTTGACGTAAAAGGCAAGAACTTACATTGGAAGTGTACATTATGTCCCGGAGCAAAGTGTTTGTCCACATCCGTTGTAAGCAACTATAATCTAATGAAGCATCTCTCAACGACACGCTTCTACAAAACCAGTGACCAAAAACACCGTTGCTGACACTGTTGAAGACGATGATTTTTCTGCTCCAGCTTGGATCCATGGATGGATGAGTATGAGGAAAGAGTGTGGTGTAATCTGTTTAGTGCAGTATAGTTTATTGTGAAAGGCTAAGGGGAAGTACCGGGAAGTGCCTGAAGTTGGCTTGGCAGGTTGTGGATGAAAAAGATTCTGAGTTTGGTTGAAAGCATAAAAAATAAAGACCGTCCAGCTGCTCTACAATGTGTCGCTTAAATCCTTACGCCCAAGAACACGACAAAGAGCATATGTATGGATAGATGAATGAATGAATGAATGAATGAAAGACTGTTTCAGAGCTAAAATTGGATTTGTCCAAGAAATTCATATTTTTAGTACGATGTTAAAAGTACTTCATATTGTTAAACTGTTTCTTTTGTCTTCAAAAAAAAAAAACAACTTTAAGTGCAGTATGTCTACCAGTTGTATGAAGGTTTGAGTTACTTAATTTACACTACAGAGAGTTAAAGCACTTCATATTTAAACTGATTGCTTTTATTTTAAGGAAAATACTTGAATAGTACACAGAGTTAAAAGCACTTAATTGTTATATTGTTAAACTATGTATTTTCTTACTAAGAAAACTCTTGAAGTACAGTATGTCTACCAGTTGTGGTCTGTTGAGATGCAGTGAATATTAAAAGCTCTGTGTAAGAACCTGTCTATGCAGTTCTACTCGATTCAACTGGCTTGTGAACCCTGCTTAGACAAAAATCCAAATTCTTAGACATATTTAAACTTCTTCTTTTTCTTTTTTTTTTTACAGTAACGCAATAGTTACTTTCCCTGGTAACTAGTTACTTTTGTAGTGGAGTAATTCAGTTACTAACTCAGTTACTTTTTTGGAGAATTAACTAGTAACTACAACTAGGTACTTTTTTAAAGTAACGTGTCCAACACTGGGTTCTGACTGTTGTTTTGACTCGTCAGAATGTTGAGTTTGATAACGACCGGTCAAAATAACGTTGATATCTGTAATGTCATTTCTGGTCAAACTCCGCTGATAAATGTCAAAATGGTTTGTACCACTTGGACTTGCTGCTTTAAGACCATTTTTTGTGTCTTACATGCACATCTAATGTTTGTCCAACAACATGTAGCTGTTTTGTATTAATGTTTGGGGCTTTCTTCTTTGTGTGGACATTTGAGGCCGGTTGTGTTTCAGAAATCTCTGCAAAAATATGATTTATATATAACTAAGGAGAATTTTAAAGTGCAAGGCCAAATGTTCAGTGCTTGCTAATACTAATAAGCGTGGATGGTTTTTTCAGTTTGTAAAATAATTTACCAAAGAATTTCAACTTGTTTTTTTTTGTCTTTTTTCTTTAGAAGTTTTTATCCAGGACTACTTTTTATCCAGGACTACTTTAAAACGGGATTCATGTATAATAACATGTCGCATCTTTTCATGTTGCTGGTTTCTACAACCTTCATGTTGACCTTTCCGTGTGTTCACGTTTGCAGGAAACCCAAAGCTGAGAAGACGAAGCCTGACGCAGACGCCGACCAACAGGACGCTCCCAAGAAGAAGAAAGGTTTCCTGCCTGAAACGAAGAAACGTAAGAAGCGTAATAAGCCTGTTTTGGAGCCGGCGGGAGACAAGTCAGCCTCCACAAACAAACCAGGGGCAGACAAAGGACAAGCCAAAAAGAAACAAGACAAGAAAACTAAACAGAAGCGACCGGCCGACGGAGCGACGGCTTCACAGCCGAACCCAGCCAAGAAGAGCAAGATGCAGTCTGAGAGCCAACCGGCCAAGAAGAAGAAGAAGAAGAAACCCAAACAGAAGAAAGAGGGAGGAGGGCAAATGTAAAGTGGACATGGTTATTTAAATGGACACACAGGCTTTTGTAATTTCCTTTTAAACGGGCTGTTTTTGTCTTTTGTCTGCCGTTTCAGTTCTGATAATGTTTTGATATATTTCTTTAAGAAATAGTTCCACATTGAAAATCTTTGATGTGTGGGAAGTGAGTTAAGACAGATTATTTTTCTAATGTGTGACTGCTGTTGATTAGAAAAATGTCTCCAACAATAAAAATGCTTCTCTTCCTGGAAATCCATCAGCTCTGAAAATAAATGAATGAAATGAATGAAAAATGCTGCATCTAAAAAAAAAAAAACCATGGTCAAAGCGCATATTTGGTCTCTTCAGCCTCCAAATGCAATATAAAACTGCTCCTAATGCTCGCTGTCAGTGGCAGCATTTAAACATACCCCCTAAAGTATTCAAAACATACATATATATTTTTCTCTAAAAGTACTAGAATCTGTGAGGCACTCACCATGTGCAGTGGATTTCCCTAGATTACTGAAACCCCAGATTTCCAGGAACAAATTAAAAAGCGTGTGACAGAAATAGGACGAGTCCTACCCTGAGGATCAAGCTCATCTTTCCTTGATGAAAAAAAATCTTCCTGGGCTTTATTTACCTTACTCACCTTTATATGATATGCAAGTTTTCACCTCCTGCAGGGTGTACGAAGGTAAAATATGCAGCTTAGATGTTTACCAATACGAAAAAAAAATAGCATGCATTGATTATTGATGTAAAATCTACAAACCCACAATGTATTCTTAAAATTCTGAGCACTATCCATCTCTGCAAGAGAGAAAAACTTACTGATTATTCTGGTAGTTTTCTGTTAAGTTTCATGAGCATTTTGCTAGAAATTAAAGCAAAAACCTTTCTCTTGGCTATTCACAGTGTAACTAAGAGAAAAAACACATCAAGGTAAAATACTGGTGGTCAAAATATCTGCAAATATCTTAAATGTTAAAACTAATTTTAATACTGTAAGAAATCATTTAATGGTCCCACATCACCCAAAAAAATAAACTAATAGATTTCAACTGGGGGCTGCAAGGTGGGTCGGTGGTTAGCACTGTTACCACACAGCAAGAAGGTCGCCGGTTCGCGTCCCGGTGTGTGGAGTTTGTATGTTCTCTGCGTCTCTCTGGGTTCTCCGGCTTCCTCCCACAAGCTCCAAAAACATGTTGAGGTTAATTGGTGATTCTAAATTGTCCGTAGGTGTGAATGTTAGTGTGCTTGGTTGTCTGTCTCTAAGTGTGGCCCTGTGATAGACTGGTGACCTGTCCAGGGTGTCCCCTGCCTTCACCCTAAGTCAGCTGGTATAGACTCCAGGCCCCAATGACCCGAGTGAGGATTGAGTGGTGTGTAGATAATGGATGGATGGATTTCAACTGTGGACATGAATTACAGTTTTGGCTGTTGTTGTTGTTTTTTTTTTTTATATATATATTAACATGTAGATTGATCCTTTCTTCTGTGATTTTGCTGGATGTTATCTGTACTTTAGCAAAAATATGTACAGTATGTCAAAAAAATAACATTTTTAAGTTCTTAACATGCATAATCTTTCAAATAGTCACAGTAACCATGTTTTATGCTGATTTAAATACAGTAAAATTTAAGAGTAATTTTATAGTTGAAAACGTAAAGGAATGAACTATGAAAAAACTATGTAAAATTACACATTTTTGATGTGAAAATGTTAATTAATCTTTTTTTCCCGTCTATTTTACCAGCTACCATCAGAAAATCTTTAAAATAACAAATCCTTTTTTCTATAATTTTTGGTTTGTCAATTCTGAGCTCCATGGAGGAGAACCTGCTTCCTGTGTAGATATAGAGAAAAACCTTCTTTACATCTACTAAAGTAACAAACAGTTTTTATGATGATTGTACGCTAAAGAAAATGAAATAAAACATGAACTACAAATATTATATTCCATTCTTACCAATACATCCCCCTGTATCATCTCAAACTGGACCTTTAGTAACTTGGACATATTTCCAGCTACATAAATCTAATATTTAATCCCTTTTGGCTCACATTTGCTCTACGACTGCATGATATTTGGTTCTATATCTGCTGTTTTCACCAGCAAGTCACCAAGTCTTTCTGTCTGCAGTCTGGTGCAGAGCAGGTCGTGTACAGTGATTTTTTTTTTTTTCTTAAAGGTGAAAATGACATTATGAAAGCAGTGAGAATGAACCGAGACAGTGAAGTTATCGATCCAGCAGATAATGAGTTGAAACTCATTCAGCTAATAAATCTCTGCAGGTTGTGAACCCTTTTACACTGCCATTTAATATGTTGTTATAAAAATATTGATTATAGACATAAAGGATGAGCATTATCGTATTCCACGTTTTTTCTTTTGGGACTAAATCCCGTGTTAGTTCCTCTCTCAGGACTTTTAAACTTCTCTATTCCGTCTGTAGCCTTCAGCTTTGAGCTCACGTTTGTAGAGGGTTTTTGCAAACAGCTCACAAATACAGTTTCATTTTTTTCGAAAAAGGTTCAGCGGTTTCATGCTGAGCGCTGTAGTTTTGGGCAAACATTACTCAAACACAAGTTAATAGTGCAGTTACTGGGGACTATTTTTAGCTGCAGATTAATGCACAGTTTGTTGGCTGCAGGACAGTAAATGTGTGATTCACTGAAACTATAATGAGTGTGTTCGTGGTAATGAAGCAACTTGTCACTAACTGATGTATTTTTAGGTTTTGGACAACAGCGGGTCTCTATTAGGGATTCAGAGGCACAAAGGATTCACAATTTGCCATCAGCTACAGTTCTGGAATCATGGTTTGGTACTTTTATTGTTTAAAAGCAGAGAAAACGAGAAGAAATGTATTGATTAACATGTTTGTCATTCAAAGTGTGTCTGTTCCTACTTTAATAGTTGCTGCATGATGTCAATAAGAAAATTCTCTGACCTGTTTATTCTCCAATATAAAACGCGTCATTAAGACAAGGAGGTATTTATAATTAAGTAAATGAACCATTAAAGCCAACACTGCAATTTCAGCTTTACAACCATTTCAGTGTCTGCTTCAGTCTTTTATTGAAAAATATAAAATATAACCAGACTTTTCCTTCTGTTTTGTAAAAGGACTGAATCAAAAGTTTCATTTTACCTGTGAGATGCAGCAACTATGTCAGATTTTCACCTTTGTGTTACACATAGATAGTAAAAACTGTATTTTAGCTGTAGTTGTTGTCAAAGTGCTTTTTTGACTAAATTTCTTTTAGCTTTCTGGTTTGGTGACACCAGCCCAATCTTCTGAATTCTGTCAACTTTAAATTCAACTTTGTTAAACTTGTACTTGAATTTCAGCGAAACGGCATAAATTAGGCTTAGAGTTGGCATCTGTGTTTCTCAAGATTTTTCTGCTGCAACTCAACTGTTGTTTTCTTTTAGCAGGATTACAGAGTTAAGAAAAGGAACGAATGGTGAGTCTAATGCAAAAATCATGTTCTCATTTTAGATTTGACAAAACCTAATACTTAAGTAAGAAAAAACTTTTCTTAAAATTAAGTTGGTCATTTAAGAGAAATTTAAGTTCATCTAACTTAAACCAGTGGTGTTACTAATATTTGTTTTTAATTATCTTCTTTCAGACAGACATGTAACCTCATTACATAACATTCTTACTTGGAAAATGCCGCTGGCCTTTGCGCAGGACTCGATGTTGCAAGCCTTTGTGCTATAAACTAAGGTGAGCAATCACAGAGAACCCTAATTCAGCTGTCAGAAAAATGATGCAGTGTCCCACAAATGGATTACTATACAGGACATGAAGCCGTGCAGCCATAAATCTACAGTAGTGTGAGCAGGCCACAGCCTCATCCATCAGCAATCTCATCCTAAAGCCCCGCTCCTCTGCAGGAGGCTTCAGCCGAGGGTATCAATAGGAGCCATCACACACTCAAGAAACCTCACGTCTGCTGTTTGGTCCTGAGCTCGCGGTGCAGTGTCCTCTGGGGTCGCAGAAACTGAATCCTGCACAAAGGCCCGAGCAGGGTGAAGACACAATAAATCAATGCACATCATGAGTTTGTGTGCGGCAAGTAAGAGGAACTGCCTGCCTCAGTGTGTCGTTACACAACAGCGAGAGGAACATAATAAGCCTCGCGTGAATCGATAAAATGTTAATGTTACAGCTGCTCTAATCGATAATTTTATTAGCAATCGATCACGTGACTACTCGTGTGTGAAAGGGGTCACACACAGTGACGTCGTCACAGAGAGTTATTGAACAACTCTGCAGTTTCATCTCTGCAGATCATTTTGGCTCCTTCCAGCCATTTCTTTTGTTTTTATTTGACCCAAGACTGCTGTTTCAAGAAAAGCTTCCTCAGTCTTGTTTTTTGCAGCAGCTCTGAAAGCAAACACTCTGCTAAACTCACTGTACAGCACACTGTAAGAATTGGGCTTTTTTATTTTTTATTTTTTTAAAACAAAGTTGCTGTTATTTTACTACTTTCCCTTGTTTAGTTGAATTACAGATAATAATTGGATAAATCACAGAAAAGTATTTCTTAATATGTTTACCCCCAAAAAAGAGGCCAAAGCTGTATTTGTATTAGAGGTCATTTGCATTACTACTAAAATGCAAAGCTAATTTACATTTTAGATTGGAAAATTGCAGTATTTTTTACTGTATTTAAATCAGCAAAAAAATATTATTTCCCAGATATATTAGCAATAGTATGTATAATAAGGATTAAAAGATGTGACATATTTTTTTGAACTGTTATTTTACAGATTTTGTAAACTGTAAAATCACAGAGAAAAAAAGACTCATTTACATGTTAGCCACAAAAAAGCTCAAAACTGAAAATAATAATAAACACAACAAAAATCTGTATTTTTAATAAATTATAATTCTCTCTTTTAAAAAAAAGTTTTGTCATAAAGCTACACTACTTTTACTGTATTTAAATAATTTTTATTTTAGAGATATTCCCTGTTTTGGTAAATTACAGATAATAACTAGTAAAATCACAGAAAAACAGAAAAAAGGTATTCACTGAAAAGACAAGATAACAAACGAACAAAAAACAGACCACAACTGTGCACAAATCTGCAAATCTTGTACAAATAGTAATGTGTTCATCTACAATGTTTGAAAAAAAAAAAAAAAGAAGTTTCTTTGTACTTTTTTTTTTTTTTTTTTAATAAATCAGCCAAAAAAAAGAGATAGAGACATATTTTTATAGACATTAGCTGTTTTACAGTCTGGACTGTTTTTTCACTTTCTTCTTCTTCTTCTTCTTCTTCTTCTT